TGCGTAAATGTTTCAATTAAAAATAACTTTAAATATTTTTCCTTTCCACTAGACTTAAAAAATTGTATTAATTTGCGTAAATGTTTTAATTAAAAATAACTTTGAATATTTTCCCTTTCCATTACACTTATAAATTATTGTATTAATTTGCGTAAATGTTTCGCTTAAAAATAACTTTTAATATTTTTCCTTTCCATTGGACTTATAAATTGTTGTATTAATTTGCTTAAATTTTTCGATTAAAAATAACTTTAAATATTTTCCCTTTCCATTAGACTTATAAATTGTTGTATTAATTTTCTTGAATGTTTCAATTAGAAATAACTTTAAATATTTTCCCTTTCCACTGGAATTATTAATTGTATTAATTTGCGTAAATGTTTCAATTAAAAATAACTTTTAATATTTTCCCTTTCCACCTGACTTATAAATTATATTAGTTTGCGTAAATGTTTCAGATAAAAATAAATTTGAATATTTTCCCTTTCCACTTGACTTATAAATTGTTGTATTAATTTGCGTAAATGTTTCAGATAAAAATAACTTTGAATATTTTCCCTTTCCACTTGACTTATAAATTGTTGTATTAATTTGCGTAAATGTTTCGCTTAAAAATAACTATTAAAAATAACTTTTAATACTGGTAAATATTTTCCGTTTCCACTGGAATTATTAATTGTATTAATTTGCGTAAATGTTTCAATTAAAAATAACTTTGAATATTTTCCCTTTCCATTACACTTATAAATTGTTTTATTAATTTGCGTAAATGTTTCAGTTAAAAATAACTTTGAATAATTTCCCTTTCCACTCGACTTACAAATTGTATAAATGTTTCAATTAAAAATAACTTTAAATATTTTTCCTTTTCACTAGACTTAAATAAATTGTATTAATTTGTGTAAATGTTTTAATTAAAAAATAACTTTAAATATTTTTCCTTTCCAATGGACTTACAAATTGTTGTATTAATTTTCTTGAATGTTTCAATTAGAAATAACTTTAAATATTTTCCCTTTCCACTGGACTGATAAATTGTATTAATTAGCGTAAATGTTTCAATTAAAAATAACTTTAAATATTTTCCCTTTCCAATGGATTTACAAATTGTTGTATTAATTTTCTTGATTGTTTCAATTAGAAATAACTTTTAAATATTTTCCCTTTCCACTGGAGTTATTAATTGTATTAATTTGCGTAAATGTTTCAATTAAAAATAATTATTTTAAATATTTTCCCTTCCCACTGGACTTATAAATTGTTGTATTAATTTGCGTAAATGTTTCAATTAAAAATAACTTTGAATATTTTTTTTCTTTCCATTGGACTTATAAATTGTTGTATTAATTTGCTTAAATTTTTCGATTAAAAATAACTTTAAATATTTTCCCTTTCCACTGGACTTATAAATTGTATTAATTTGCGTAAATGTTTCAATTAAAAATAAATTTAAATATTTTCCCTTTCCATTAGACTTATAAATTGTATTAATTTGCGTAAATGTTTCAATTAATAATTACTTTGAATATTTTTTTCAATTAAAAATAACTTTTTAAAACATGTTCCCTTTCCATTAATTACTTTGAATATTTTCCCTTTCCATTGGACTTAAAAATTGTTGTTAATTTGCGTAAATGTTTCAATTAATAATTACTTTGAATATTTTCCCTTTCCACTGGACTAATAAATTGTTGTATTTATTTGCGTAAATGTTTCAGTTAAAAATAACTTTGAATATTTTCCCTTTCCACTGGACTTGTAAATGTTTCTATTAAAAATAACTTTAAATTTTTTCCCTTTGCATTGGACTTAAAAATTGTTGTATAATTTTGCGTAAATGTTTCTATTAAAAAAAACTTTAAATATTTTCCCTTTCCACCGGACTTATAAATTGTTGTATATATTTTCCCTTTCCACCGGACTTATAAATTGTTGTATTAATTTGTGTAAATGTTTTCCTTTCCATTAAAAATAACTATGTATTTTCCCTTTGCATTGTTGTGTAAAACTTTGAATATTTTATTGTATTAATTTGCAAGAATGTTTTCTTATTCTTTCAGATTGTGGCAACTAGTGATTTGGCAATTAAAGCTTTCAATTCCAGTTTTATATTTTGAATAAATAAATATTCATTGTAATTTAGTATATGAATATTTCAAATAAATATTTTGAATAAATAAATATTCATTGTATTCAGTTTTGTATTGTTTTTTCTTCTTGAGCATTGGGAGAGCAGGATGAGCAAAAAAAAAAAAGCGCCCTCGAATAGAAAAAGGCCGTAAATATGACTAAGTTATTTGGCCACAATAGTCTGTCCGGTTCTGGTAAAAATAGTGAAGAAAATCGCCCTAAATAGCCATTTTAATCCAAAATTTTTTAGGGTGTCTTAACTGTCAATGGCAGTAAGCGCCCTCTAACATCCAATTTTTTCAGAATGGCATAAAAACTGGCTATTAGAGGGCACTTCCACCTTAATTAAATTAATGACAAATAAGACACCACCGAAAAACGTTGAACTAAAATGGCTATAGAGGGCGGTTTTCAGCACCACACAGGAACCCTTTAAATAATTTTAGAGACCCTGGAAATTTTGGATTCTATTAGAGGGCGCCCTTCAGCACCACTTTTAATAGAAATTTAGGGACATACGAAAAATTAGCCTTTTTCTATTGGAGGGCGCTTTTTTCATCTTACCTGCATCCATCAGTCAAGCCATCAGTCTTCAAACTTGAACAGCAAAGAAACATCAAAACAATTCAATTCATTATGTAGAAAGTTAAAATGCTCTGCTAGGCTAATATTAATTATAGTAGCTTTTTGGTTCTCTTAGTAATTAGTCAGTTCATATCTTCTGTACAATATAATCAGTTTTTTTTAAATGAAGCAACTGTTGTTTCAATGCTGCAACAACTCACCTGCATTCACCAGTCTTCAAACTTGAACAGCAAAAGAAAAGTCAACACACTACTTATATTTTTTATTATCTTCATAAACAAAATCACATAATGTAAATTATTAGGCATCAACAATTCATTATATAGAAAGTCAAAATGCTCTGCTAGTAATCATAGTAGTTTTCTGGTTCTCTGGTCTGATTGTAATAAGCCAGTTCTTATCTTCTGCACAATATACTCAGTTTTTTCAGAATGAAGCAATTGTTGTCTTGATGCTGCAACAAATAATATAACTGCTGTTTGTTCTCTTTCACCTGGACTATGGCATCGCAATATTCAGCAAGATGTTCAAGCTACACTTCTGTATTGTATTAGGCGTGACAAATTAAATTAACTAAAATTAAATTGCCTATATTAGACGAAATTAATTATAATAGGTTTCTCTTCCTTTTCTTGCTCTGCAGCAGTACTTTTCCTGCATCTACCAAAAATAGGTAAAAAAAAAAATTAGACACAAACACGAATTAAACAAAATTAAAGGTAATAGTAAAGTTACTAATTTCATGCAGCTGTTGTATAATTTTGGTTCAGATTTATTGATTGATCATATAAAATAAAATTTGTTTTTCTGAGTTGTAACACATATAAAGTTCATTGACATATAAGTACACAAAAACATTCAGCTGCATAAGGTAGTAAAGGTATTACATACATCATAACATAGAAAGTATAAATATTAAAAGTTATATAAAAAGACTTAAAAACCAATAAAACCCATGAAATGAAAAAAAAAAATAAATAAAAATAAAATTTCAACTAAAGGGACTGCCCTGCATTTGTGTATTAAAACTTACCTACTGAATTTATTATTATCGACTAATTCCAAGATATGTGTATTGGTTTGTCATTTCAATATCCTTCCAATTTGAATTGATTCCACATAGTTATAACCTTTTCTAAAATCAAACACCAAATAATTGTCCTTACACCAACTTAATACTTACAGTATTATTAATTCTTTGATGTATATCAAAATTTAATTATCATCTTGCAAAGAGATTTGCCTGTCATCTGGAAAAAAATAAATAAAATACAGATATTGTTTTTGTATTCTCAGATACTTTCACAAATACTGATTTGGGAAAGCACAAGTTCAGTGTTGTAGTGGTTAAGAGACCAGGCTAGTTCTCTGGTGTGTCAATCCCAATTCCATGTACCAGTGAGTACTGCAATGCCATTCAATGCTGTTTTTTTATGTTAGGAATGTTATTTTTTTCATACAGAATGCTCAGCATGTTCCATAATACTTGCAAGTGGGCCTACTGTGATGCTTTTCAATTGTTTTATTTTTTTCCAAACACCATCAAATATAATTCTCACAAACAGTATTGTAATTGCCCCATCAATATGCACCCTTGTCAAACAGGCATGATTCCATATGCTTTGACACTTTAACATTGACTGGATGCTAATAATAATAATAATAATAATATAATAATAATAATAGATGGATTTTTATATATAGCGCAGATAAACTAGGTCTCTATGCGCTTGGGACTAGATGTTCCACTTTTTAATAACTTTCTCCTTCCCTGAGGGTCACTTCATGTCCACCACAGCAAGTAAACTTGTGCACTATGCCTTCCTTTACCAGGATTATGGCACTATTCAGCAAATCTCCTAACAAAACTTCAGTACACTTTTCACAACTTGCCGCATGGGTCATATTCTGTTGCTGCATCTGCCAAAAAAAAAATGATGAAAACTGAGACAGTTGGAATGTTCAATGGACTTTCTTTATTTTTGTTTTTTTTGTTTTGTTTTGTGGGGTAGAAATAGGGGAAGGTCCACCACTACAGGCTGCCGCAACCGGGGGTGCGTCCAGGATATTAGGTGAAAATAGCCACAAGAATACTGTTTAATTATTGGAATAAGTTTAATTATTGGAATAAATAATATTTATCTAAGGGTATAAATAGAGATTATATAATTGCTTTTTCACATTGGCGTGTACAAATATACACAGACACATACGAAAGGTATCAAAATTATATAAAAAAATTTTTAAAATATTGATTGGGAAAACATTTAAGGATAAAAGCACAGGAAAGTACAAAAAGCAACTTATTTCCACCGTAGTCCCCAAATGAGAATACTAAAATACCAGAAAAATAATAATAGAACTATAAATATGGAAACAATACAATAAATACATTTAAAATATTACAAAAAATTCAATTTTGAAACATCATCAAATTTAAACTGTATTGTATTATGAAGTCCAGATATATAATGGTTCTTTATGAGTTCCTAACAGTAAGATTAATTAATTTAAACACAGGTGGTTTTTTTTTTTTTATCTTACCAGTTGGTTGTCCAAGTAGCACAAAACAAATCCTTTATTTACCACCACACCACTGCAACCACTCTCACAGAGAACAGAGACTGGATGCGAGCCAACAGTACCTGCGGAAACTATGCCTCTTGTTTTGTATGGAGTACCCAGTCGTGTCGTCACAACGCCAGGTGGCGCTCTCTGTTGCCAACAGACGTTGGTTACTGATCATTACACCTTAATGACTTCATAGGCTTTCTGGAATAGGCATTTTAAAATCTAATATTTTACCATCAAAATGTACTAAAAACACAAAAGCTTGCATTATATTAGTTATTGAACACACATTATATCAATTAAAATTTACAAAGAAAAAGTAAGTTAAAACATCCTAATAATTACATTAAAAATTGGGATCAATGGTGTGTCAGTGAAGAAAATGGCGTCCGGTTGACACTTTTTGCAACGATAGCAACGGAGTAGTATCACATGGTATCGTGACGTAACACTGTAGTACTCTATGCCTTTTCAATACAACACCCTGTCAACTTCTCCAAGTGCTTTGTTGATTTATGGTACAGTATCGGTAAAAGACAACACTCTATTCTGCAACATCAAAAAATGTGTGGTGTTGCAACTTGTGTTTGTATATTACTAATACAAAATTATAATGTAGGGACGTAGCACACCCGATAAAGTATTAAGTATTGATATAATAACCATTATGTTTATTATGACATACATTTTGTGTAGTTATACTGTATATTGGATTTTACACTTTTACATACTATTGCTGTAATTGTAGTAATGTGATAATAATGTGTTATACTTTGTAATATAGTAGGTTACCGTATGCTGTATGGTGTTATGATAGTGATTATGAAATACTGTTGTGATGGTGTACTGTATAATATTGTAACATTTATATTGTGTTATTTAAATGTAAATCATCAGAATATACAATTTTATATTATAGTATTGAACCACTATGATAATAACCTCTACAAGTGTTATTTACACATTTAAATTAACTGCACTTTTATAATTTTGATTATGTTAATTTAAATTATTGTGTAATAGCCAATATATAGGTTTTTGATTTAATAAGTTTAATAGGTATGTGAAAAAATAGAGTAGAAACAATGTGCAGATTGTGTTCCCACAAAACAAAATTAGGAAATTTTATTATTACGCCACTTTGTTTTTTGTATTGGACAAATTAAAAAAAAAAAAGCTGCCATCCTAATAGAAAGAAAATTCCCACATTTAAAGTATTACCTGACTACCCTCTTCATCCATATGAATGACTTCATAGGCTTTCTGGAATAGGCATTTTAAAATCTAATATTTTACCATCAAAATGCACTAAAAACACAAAAGCTCGCATTATATTAGTAAT